TTTGCCAAACAACTGTTAAATAAAATTGATATAGGAACATTGACTATTTTTTCTGAACTGATTTTAAATTTTATTATAAATATATATTTATTCAAATATGACATGGCTACAATATTGATAATGTTAACTCTCTTTTTTTGCTGCAGGTGATTATAATTATGCATGTATTTTTTATCATGTTGACAATACTAATGTCAGAAACACTGCCATTTATTGTGAAAGATTTTGATCAGGTTTTGTATAAGTTCTTGATTTAAACATGTTTCTGTGGATTCATTGTATATGCATGTATATTAAAAGATGACAGATAATGTTTTAAAATCCTTCTGACCAAATTCCCTGCCATTTCTCCATAGAAGAACGTTAAAATCCCAAAGTTTAAACAAAACACCTTTTCCATAATAATAGCCATAAAACAGCTACTTTCAGCACGTGTTTAATGTATAAAAACACGAGAAGCGTAACAAATAATGATCACGCATGCGCATTATGTAAATAGGCGGAGTCCATCAAATCGGCTCATTTAACGTATAAATTTAATACATGCAGTTAAGTTACAGCACTGTATGGAAAACACTTTAGCAAAATTTAAACAAAAAGTGCGATTTCATTGGCAGACAGACTTAGGCGAACTGTAAAGGTAGGAATGAGTTTTGTACACAAATGCCTTTTTCCGTATTAAAAAATCAATTTGTTTTTGATATTTTTTTATCTATAACATTTAGCGATTTAGATTTATTTTATTTTCTACTCTACTCTAATGGATTTATTTTTTCGGAAAATTTGATAATTGAATCTATATTTATTTAAGAAAAACTTTGCTTTAGTGCTATTGTTAACTGATGATGTTTCATGGAGGGCACTGTAAGAATTTTTGACATTCTTAAAATTAAACTTAGTTAAAAATAACCACTTTTTGGCGCTAAAATGTCTTCGGTCACGCAAACGTCGCCGCCGTTTGGCGAAGTTATGGAAGTTACATTAAAAAAAAAAAACCATAAAAAAATCAGTAAATTGTTTTAGATAGGAGAAAAGCAGTATTCGTTATTTCAATATAATATGTCTATTAATGTATTTCTATGCGCCGTTTATACATCTAAGCATGACATATACAATGTTAATTTATAAATTCACGCAAAAATTAGAATATAGTCTCTAGTTTGTAAACACAAACTTACGAATGAATCTACAGTCAATATAATATGCTCACAATTTAAATATGTATATTAAATGTAAAAGTGTTGGCTCAGGGTCTTCTGTTTGACAGACCCTGGTTTTCTTTACTAACATAAATTTGCAATAGCGTTATTGCAGAAATTCTTTATAATTCAAACACTGATGATACAGTGCTTGTCCAAGCGGAACGGAAAATCTTACTTAAGCGGAAATAGTACTTACAGCTTAGGAGTCGATATTTTTATTAATATGTCTTCTAGTTTGTAGAATATCATGAAATGATTGTGGGTAAAATAAAATGAATTAAACTAGAAATCGAAAGAAAAACGATCTTAAATATAAGCATGAAATCAACTCTAAAATAAGGGATCTGGTAAAAGAAATTGAGTTAAAAACGAATAACAATATTTTATATTTTATATGGGGGATTGCCATGTTAACATGGCTCTTGTTAAGATTTTGATAGTCTTGCCCATCGTTTATTCTTACAATTAGAATACCTCGTAGTCTGAAATATGTGTAATATTAGAATTTCATGACATCAGGAAAGTTAATATTCAGGATGCAACTGACAGTACACCATTGTTGAGAATCGCGTCGTTTCGCTCAGCTTTATTTGTTTGACATGAAACTAATTTATCATAATATCTGAAATAATATCTTACATTTTCCTGTATTTTGAATATTATCCCTATTTTTTGCATAAATAATATACAAGTCTATGAACTTGAAACACAAACTTCATTTTAAATAGCTACGCTCATAGTAAACTGTGGTCTGAATGTTTTAGGTAATTAATGCTTTTTGTGGTATTTTTCAAACTTTTACTCTACACTTTAGCTTTTACTTGGGGTAAGGACCTCAGGTGCGCTTTTGTGCATTATTTCAGGCAAAAGTTGCGCCTGCATAGAACCATCGACAATTTAAAACTAGCTAGATAGGTTTTCCACACGATAGAATTAAAAGTCCCTGGTGGTTTTCATATTCACAGCAGTTCAGTGCAAGTGATTTGTAAACATCACGGCCTCGGATGGACACACCTGTCTGATTTTTTAAACAAAATTTGTTAACCTAGCTGTACAAATCAGAAGTTTTTTATAAACTAATGGCATTAAGTTTTATGGTTACAAATATTTTATTCAATTATAAAGAGAATTACATTTAAATTTCTTGTTGAAATGAAATATTTCCTTACTCTCTAAAATAGAGAAAATAAGAAAAGCCCAACACGGCATAATTTAAAATGTTGCAGGCTCGGTTTTATTGAGCCTGTTCATGGACGGTACTGTTCAGTGCAAACTACCGTCCACGCCCCTTAGCACCGGCTTAAGCAGAATTCAACATTTACTATGAATGGTACAATTTTGAATTTTGAAACATCCGCAGATGTATTCATATGGCGGTTATCATGGAACCTTCAATGTGACACGTAAGTTCCATTCCATGAAAAGCGGCATATGGTCCACAAGTAAAATAATGCGCTTGCCCTAAACGAGAAAACAATGGGCAGAACTAAATAAAATGAATTTTGAAAGGGGAACAGAGGTTATGAAGCCTGCATATCACAAATAAGACGTCAAAAGACAAATTTAAAAAGCAGGCCACATATCCCAAAAAGAAAAAAGCCGAAAAGATAGAACGTAATTACCACAAGCATCACAATAATGTCGTGCTGAACGATCTTAAAGGATCGGAAATATAACATCTCTGATTGAATGTACGGGGCGACTTTTTACAGCCTCCACACGGCACAAACAACGCTGATGTGGCGATAAAATAGAGAAAATAAGAATCCCTAAAGAAAGGCCAACACGGCATAATTGAAAGATCATTTTTACTTTATTTCGTTCACAGAGTGTGTATCAATGGTGTGCCAGAGAAGTTTACAATGTAAACAGGGGGTAATTTTCTTTGAGGTCATTTTCTTTCTTTTTTTTGTTTCATTATAAAAAAAATCTCATTTTAGTATGTTAAGATGCCATGTATCTAGTCTGTGGAAAATTCAATGCGATAATCAGACCTAAATTTTCTCATCCCGGCTGGGAAAACTTCTTCAATACTATCGAAATATCATATCGTGCATATATCTGTATCAAATTCATAGGTGCAAAGCGTAAAATACCTTTGCAAAAGGCACACCTACTTTACAAAATAATTTGTAGTTTTATTATTTCTAACTCGATTTTGAAAATTTAAAATTTTTTAATGAAAACAAATGACACTATAGTGCAAATATCTAATTAATTTCCATAAAATATATTCCGTAGACCTGTTCTCATCGTCGATAAAAATACAAAACGAAAAAATCAGCGCGCTGAACATAAATTGAATTAAAGGACTGAACGAAACGTATACCTTACTTGCAGCTAACCATTTATAATATAATTTTAAAATTTTAATGTTCAGAATACATGACAAGTTTTCCTAATCATGTATCAAGAGAGAAGAAATACTTTTTTCAAATACCGATTTAAGTTTCAAATAATAACGCTCATCTATTCTCATCGATTTTTAAGAAAATTAATACAATAAAATCGGCGCGTAAAAGACATTAGTAATAACGACATTGTCGCAAATTGTTGTTAATTATAAGGAATAAGGAAGCCATGCAATTTGCTCATATGAAAAAAGTAACCACTCCCATTAGTTTCGAAAACCCGGGAACATTTTTATAAGCTTGTAAGGCAATACTTAAACACGCATATGGGTGTACGTTCACGTGTTTCAATGTATTTGATACACCTTTTTCAGAATTTGTAAATGATTAAAACAGGTGCTAAAAATGCGACCGAAAAATGCAGCCATAATAGAATTTTTATTACATTTTCCATTTTCATCCAATGAGTGACCTCAGTTGCATGCAAGGTCAAATGGATAAAAAAATCCCAATGGACGTAACTAGTATTCTTAACGCATAACCAATATGCAGCCTGCAACAACTATACAACTGCGCCATATCATATTTTATTTTCAACTGCGTCGTATCATTTCGTATAAATTAATATTTTTTTAATTGAATTTTAGTAAATGATGCATATATATTTTGAAGTTCATTGTAAACTCTGAAACGAGTCTATAAATAATTTTATGTAAAAAACGATAGATAAAGCAATATGAACTGCGTCGTATCCACACAATTCTGCTCCGCTTCGAGTTGCAAGTTCAAGTACAAAATAGTTGTGCAAGCAACATATACCGAACGAAGCGGAAAATAGTGGAGCGTGTTAATATATATATTTAGTTTTCAGTCATTTCAAAAAGTCAAACAAAAAGAATTATAAACAAAAACATACCTTTTTCATTCCAAGATGGCGGTGTTTGTTTTCATTTTGTAGGCTACGACGCAGTTTTGTTTCCAAGCCCTATGTTATTAAGGTATTGTTAGTATACAATCCCTGGTTATCAATTGCGCCACGTTATCTACTCGTCAAGTCAGGCGCACTCGCCGATATTTTGTCTTGTTTGTCGTTGTTGAAATGTATATTTTTGTCCATAAACCCGCGAAAGATGGCGAATATTAACATTGTTATGTGATATTGTATCAATGAAGTATTTTATTATCTATTTTAATATGCTTACATTGGTTGAAAAGATACAGATAGCGGAAATTTTGAAATTTTATAATGATTAAATGAACCGAGATAGTCCAAACTTGCCCATTTATAGCAGAATATCATCTGTTAAATGAATCAGACATTTGTCAGTTAAATACAACTTCAAAAACACCGAAAAACAGAATCCCTTAAGATCGCATAAAACGACAAAATTGACATATGTTGCAGGCTCGGTTTGATTGAGTCTGTTTATGGACGGTACTGGAAAGTGCATGGTACTGTCCATGCCTAAGCAGAACTCAACATTCTTTAAAGTAAAATATGTTTAACGAGGTCAAACATGGAAAGGCTATCTCAAAAACTTCGATATAATGCTAAAACCTGAAGCAGGTATGTTACTTCATAAGCCAAACTTGTTTGCTTTAATCGGAGAATGTCGCTCCACTGTTTTATAATTATTAATAATTTTAATTCCTTGTGGTTGGTGGCTCAGGATTAGATATCGTTGTGATAAATATTTCTCAAAAGCTGTTAATCCTTTCAGGACTATGTTCAACATAGACTTAATATGAAAGCCTTTTTGTCAAATACAGAGATACTTCATATTTGTTAGACCTTTTTAAGGTAAACATGATTACTTTTGGTTGTTTGATATAATTCCAAAGTCTACATTGAATCATGAATAATCCAACATGAAGCTAATGCTATATTTAATAGATATGACATTGTTATGGGTTATGATAAGGTCCCTGAATTTAAGCGTTGTTGTTGTTGTTGCAGTTACACTGTAACCAAAAATTTGTTTAGATGAACTTTAGGAGCAGAATATTGTTGATATAGCTTCGGGAATTTGAACGTAAAGATTATTCTAACTTTCCTGTATATGCGAGGACTTTGTTTAGTTATCTCGTTAAATTGGTATACATTAGAGACGTTTTCTTCAAATATCAAATCTTACACACATGTTATACGTTACATGTAAACAGTATGTTCACCATCAACACACAAAGCATTTTTGATGATTTTGATATGATGCGCTCTTGTTTTCTGGTCTATCTATATGAGTATTTGTAGAGTCTTGTACCACAGATGTGAAGACACATGTAGCTTGTCAAAGTATCCATTTATTAGCGATTCAAAATCACTCATGTTTAATAAAATCTTGGATAATTTTCAATATATCTGTTAATTGTTGAGCGTTCACTAAAGTGATTTCTTAAATATCGTTAGTGAATATGACGAAATATGTTATAAGTATTTCAATTCTACATTGTTTAAATTATATATTTGCATGCTATATAAATAATGACATTAATAAAGATCATATACAGAACGTTCATAGTTATGTCAATCAGGGGATCAAATTGTTTGATAGTTAGATCAAAATAACTAAAAATCTAGGTAACATATAGGTACTATGTCCTGCAGCGTGTTCAAATTTAAAGAGGCGGCATAACACAAGGAAAACAGGATGCAATGAAGCATTAGGTCGTTACACAAACGTTTGTTGCTCTCGATAAAAGGGTCCAATTCAAACAATCATCGAACACAAAGAGAGTATGCTTGAATATAATCATGTATAGTAGTGATAGACATCTTTAACTCCTATCTATTTTGACAGGAACGCCTTGGAAAACGACCTGTAGTATATTTTTACTTTGGTTTCTAACACAAATTTTAAGCATATTAAAATATATTACACGCCCCACAATGGTTCAAATAGAAAAGGAAAGTGATTAAAAAAGGTAAATATAAATTTAAATGGGACAAAAAACTTAACAACAATCTAACAAGTTTATCCATAGATCTGTGACTTAGTGTTGTTATATTTTCTGGTCCTTCGGGATCATTGATGCCAGCACTATAAAGTGTTGAGAATTGAGTACCGCTCAAGCCGGTGCTAGGGGGCGTGAGGGATGTTGCACTTATTCATTATCCCTCATGTACAGACTCAATTAAACCGAGTCTGCAATTCTTATGTTATTTTGTTGTGATTAATGCTTCCGAGGGATCACTTTGTTTCCAGAATTTTTTACGGTCAAATAACAAACTATCTTTGTTTTTAGTCCCACTATCCGTAGGCAATACACTTAGATATAACTTACGTAATGGTGAGATCATCCAAACATTACACACAACAACAACGCCTTGAGAAAATTCCTTTCTGTAGTCTGTAATACGGGACTTAAATGAACTTACATCCGCTATCCGAAATTCTTCATCACTGTCATCTTTTAAATGCAAACTCAAACATAATCTAAAATGTGTAATTAAAACTTATTCATACATTAGGAGAAGGAAACTGCAAGTTCTACATACACGGCTTCGCATTTAATGTATATTTCTTAATCACCATCTTTTCAGAGTAAACATTACTCAATAATAATTTTGTTGTTGTTGTCTTTCTGTAACTACGTACCATATCTTTTTCATTTGTTCACTTTATAATGAATGAAGAGAACGCTTCATAAACATCATATCAAACTGTATCGATGCATATATCACTATACGACGATTGTATGATGATATAATATTTTCCTTACTGTTCAAGATTTCATCCACATATATACTTGTTTAAATACTGAATTAAAATTATATTTTCAATCTCCTTTTCCTCAGATCTAGATTAGATGGCTTTTCCTCAGATCTAGATTAGATGGTGGAAATCATGAAAATGATGTTTCTTGTGGCATTTTTATTTTTGCATGCTGAATCTGTAGAAGGTACATTTTGACTTATTTAAAATATCTGTTTTATTCTACATCTCATAGAATGTAACCAATAAACTTCCAGTATTTACACCATGTGATGTTCCAGTAGAAAGCATTATTAGATCCAATCTTAGTTAAGCTTCTGTTTCATTTCCAGAGTCAGATAAGCCACATCAAATCTATATTGTACGTCAAAAAGCTTTGTTTTCATTTTCAGAGTCCAAAGTAACAAAGTTCTGTCAAAATTGACAGCTTTGTTCTCGTTTAATAGATTTCAATATCGTACTCAACAATGAATATTCAATATTATACTCAACAATGAATATTCAATATTGTACTCAACAATGAATATTCAATATTGTACTCAACAATGAATATTCAATATTGTACTCAACAATGAATATTCAATTTTGTACTTAACAATGTATAAGAATCAGCGGGTTACATATCTAATTATTTTAACTTAAATATTAACGATATAAAGATAAAGACATTTATTTAGGCTGATTTTATAATTTAGGCTTTGAATTTCGACTGTTGCAAACCAACTCACAAGGCACAGAGGGTTTTGTAGAAATATTTTACAATGGTTCGTGGGGATTAATAGGACACCCAGAATTTCGGTTTTCTGACGCCACAGCTTCACTTTTATGTAGAAAATTCAACTTAAGGTATGTTGTTGTAATCTGCACAACTATTAATTTGAAACAATACGTAAATATTATATACATTATTTAAACTTCCTTTAATATATAAACACAGCAGATATATTTACGAGTAGGCATTTTCGGCAACATCGTTTTGCTACATGTACCGTTGAATATTATATGTCGGTAGGTTATCAACCGAAAATGTTAAGTTAAGTTAAGTCCCCTTTCCTGCCAACTTTAAGGTTCAAAAATATTGTCGGAGAAAATTCATTAAAGCGAGATAATTTGTAAAGACAAGACGAATATTTGTTTAAATGAACGAGTATAATGTTGTAGAGACAAATACATATTAGAAAGACCAATTTAGTTAAAATTACTTCTTTTAGATGATATGGAAATGGAATCTACATAGAAGCAAAAAAATATACATACTTACATGTCTATTGTTTTTTTTATATTTATAATATGTAGTCTGTTTGGATATGGTGCCCGCAATATTTACCAAGAAAACAACACGTTCAGTCATTTTTGGTTGCAAAACTTAGAATGCCATGGAAATAAACAAAGTATTGATGAATGTGTCAAAACTGACGAATTTAACCGTACCCAATACAACCAATACATAACAGATACATATGTATCGCTTCCCGATTATGGCAGCAAGCTATATTGTGTAGGTAAGTAGATACAATTTTACTAAATTGGTCTGCGTACTAGTATTCGTCGTGTTGGTGTCTGTGCAATGACACTAATCAATGTTGAACAACCAACGGATAAAAACATAATCCACTGGCTAAAATTTGTCTTTTGGATAAATCTGTTGCTTAAAAGTTATCTTACAGATAAAATGCGTTATCCAGTGATTAACTTTAACCAGTTTTTGGCCACCGAAAAATACCCTTAACCATTGGTTAACCATCATCATTATAAAAGTAAAACTCATTAAAACTGTTTTGACATTAGTTTTTTCTTACAAATATGTTTATTGTTTCTAAACTAGAGAATTCCTATGAAATGCATATGATTAAATTGAAACATTTCTTTTTGGTACCCTTTTTCAATTGAATTTGTTGTCGTTTCTCCGAAAATTCAGTTTAACAGCACTATTAAGTGTTGAGAATTGAGTACCGCTCAAGCCTGTGTAGGGGGCGTGAGGGATGTTGCACGTATTCATTATCCCTCATGTACAGACTCAATCAAACCGAGTCTGCAATTCTCATGTAATTTTGTTGTGATTAATGCTTCCGAGGGATCAATTTGTTTCCAGATTCTTTTACAGTCATAACTTTCTTTGACAATGAAACATATAAGTGTCAGTACTTATTTTTATTTTGAATATAATCCCTCTTTTGTTTAATTCCAAAAATATGAAAGCACGAAACATGAAAAATTAATTCTTTTGAGACTTCCTGATTCTTAAACAATAAATCGGCATATTTATTTTAAGAATCACTAACCGGTCCTGTTGCATTGTTGTATTTTACCAGTTAATAAATACGCAATCATCTAGTTATGTTTTTATCCAATGGATAACTGGTCGCTAGTTAGTGGATAAGTTGTCTACCTCTCCGCTTTGAAAATTATTCAAATAGGCTAGAATCACTGTCGAGTGTATTGAAACTGAGGGGCGTGGGTTCAAACCCCAAAAGGGGCAACTTTTTTTCTTTCTTTTTTTTTCTTTTTAACATTTTTTATGAATCTCATAGATCCCTAATGGAAGAAAAAAAAAACGTTTCATTTTAATTATATAATTACTGTAGGTATTTATTCGCTAAATAATGTCAAATTTAATGGCAAATATGATACCAGATATTTTCAAAGTTTAATAAAATAAAAACTACACGGTAAAAGTATTTTATATTTATATTTTAGACCAACAGATACATTTAAGAAACTTTAGGCAAACTTTGAAAACACCCCTCATTGTGGAAAATTTTAGGGATATTTTAAATAAGGCTTTTTACATAAGGAAATGGTCAAATAAGTGTTTAAAGTGGGTGGGGTAGGGTTACATTTTTATACATATTAAAACATTTCGTTTAGAAACAATCATTTGGCTTGTTTAATTTGTTACCTGAATGTCATTATTTGTTTCCTAAAAATCAGCAATAGGAAAACATTCTTTTATAATGATGACATTATAGATTATCTAGAGTTTCCTCATTTCTGAAAAATAACCCTTCTAATGGCAAAGTTTTAGTTAAAAAGTGTCCATTACTCATAAACAGCACGGTAAATTTTGTTTCAATTTAGCATACGGGTGACATTTAAGGCCTATAACTGTCCTATTTGTCAATAATTTTACAGCTCCTTATAGTGCCCATTAGGGGTGTTCTACCTTAATCAATGTTTTGAACAACCCTGTCCAGCAGGTGGTTCGAGAGTTTATTTATCTGTGTAATCACGGATTTATATTACAGTAATATAAATCCGTGGTGTAAAAGAACAGATATAATAAACTTTTATTTTTATAATCTTTATAATTAGTTGATATATCCGGTCTTCATTATATTGCACTCCGGGGATATTTTTGGAAGCTTAAATATCTTAACGACGACCCTTTTGTTTCTAATTATTTCAACCAATTTCTGCTTTTCTTCTATGATTCAAGTATGCTTATGTCTGAATCTATATCTAAGATGAATGATATCATTTTCAATGCATTGCTGACTTCTAATACTCTGTATCTACACCTTAGAAAAATTTCGTTGATTATTTGTGATTCTAATACATTTGTATCATGTTAAAAATATTTATTGTTATCATTCTGATCTTTGTAGGTCAATCACCAAGAGATAATATTTGTGTTCGAGATAATATTCTTTAAATCAATTTTGACATTATTGAATTTCATTATCCCAACATAAAGATAAAGCACTTTATTTGTCAATGGCCTTGCTTTTTTTAAGTAAACACACATTATGTTCTAACTTTGGAATGTATGGACATATCTGCGGAAATAAGTTTATTTTACTTTACACAATTTTGTATTTTTATGTTGAGAATTTTATTAAACTGGAGCTAAGGGATCCTTGCGGTAGCGAGTAAATTAGCATGCAAAACCAACTATAAATTGACATAATGAACCGGGCAGCGAAGATTCCATCTTGGTCGTTATGGATGATCTTCGCTGTTTCCACTTTTCTCTAAATAGATTACAGACTGATGGGAGGACTGTCACAAAATACAGGCATGCTTCTAGCGGCATTTTTCGGCACGCAATATTCAATGTGTTACCAAGGTTTTGACAGTAGTGCAGGAGACGTGGTGTGTAAGCATTTACGATATAAGTAAGTAAATATGGTGCTCTGCCTTCTATTTTTGTAAACAAGTGTAAAGAAATACTTATATTCATATGAAAATAAGACAAGTTATTACATTATTAAACTAAAAAAACATTAATATTTAGGTTAAAATATTTGTTTATGCAGTAAAACCTTGATCCATTATCACTGTTCTATAGATATAGCCATGTTTAGCCAGCTTAAACTGACGAATGTTACCTTGCATTTAATCAACACTAGCGCCCTTAAACAGGCTAAGTCAAACCAAGCTTGCAAATATGTTATAAAAGTTTGCCTTTTATCTTTCTATTTTTGAATATTTTTGATGAATTTGTTTTTTCTTACATACAATATAGAGAATGAAATAAACAAAACAAGTAGAGACTGAAATATATATATAACTTATAACAATTATTTAATTGTTAATAGCGGTTTGGTAGCTTTTACCGAAGGTGATCCCGGCTCAATACCATTATTTAACAATAAACTAACATGCACGGGAAACGAGAGATCTCTAAATGAGTGCACAATGTCTAATGCTGTCATCGAAAATTGTACAAGAGCTGTTTATATAACATGCAAAGGTGAGTTATACATTCGAAAACATTAAAAAATATTTTGGACAGTTGCTGAAACATTTCTTTAATTACACTTTTATATTTGCTGACGTAGAAAACATGAAAGCATATTTTTCAAGTGAATGGACATGGTTTTTTTTGTGGTAGAAATTTATTTGTATTTTTTGTGTTATACATATACACACACACATATATATATATATATATATATATATATATATATATAATATATATATATATATATATTATATATATATATATATATATATATATATATATATATAATATATATATATATATATATATATAATATATATATACACACAATATACATGTACACAAGACATTTCAAATATTCTTAAAAGGCATGATTGGTGATTGTTATATCTAGTGTTTGATCGATTATATGACAGCACAAACATAATGTCCACTATGGAAAATATCAGATTTTTTAGCATTAACAAACTTACTGTAAGATTGTTTAAATACAAAAACCTTAAAAGTTTTAATCTTATTCAGCTGTTAGATTGATTACATGGAACCGGTATAACGATGAAGGTTTTGTTGAGATATTTTACAACGGTTCTTGGGGATTTTTCATTTATTACGAAAATGGATTCAGTGGATTCAATGACGTAACTGCAAACTCTCTTTGTGAAACGTTTGGTTTTCGGTTTGTTTGTTTGTTTTTTTATTTAAACATGAATGATTACTCCTGAAATCAAAGCAAATATAAACATTAAGTTAAGTATTTCATGAGCATTTATGAATAGATCGTCGGCCTGTTGAATGTTGCCGTTTATAACCTGTTTTTTATTATTATTTAACGTTCATACAAATAATATCTTATAATAATGGGAATCGGAAGTGAATTGTATTGAATTATTTTTATGTTTATCTGAATTTAGTTGTGTTAGACAAACTTAAAAATGTCCACATTTCTCTATATTTAGTTTGTTTGACTGGGGTTTTACGTCACACCGACACAATATAGGTCATATGGCGACGTTCCCGCTTTACTGGTGCATTATTTCAGGCACAAACGGGCACCTGAATAGAACCACCGACGTTCCGTCAGCGCTTTGTATTTAGTTAACGCATGATGGTAAAAACCAACACTTTTCACTGTAATAGATTCTGTGAAATGAGAGAAAAAAAATTTTACATTAGAAATGTAGGTTTTAGTTCGGCGTACCACTTTCGTGACTTTATAGAGTCAATTGGCGTAGGAGGTTGGTTCGGAAATTTGTCATGCAATGGTTCGGAAACAGACATCATGCAGTGCGTAGGACCTTTAAGATTTGGATTTGCGCCAATATTTAATATATGGAAAAGGCATATTTTGTCTGTTAGAACCTGGCTTTATTGTTTTGGTAAGTCTAATAATAATTGAATTCATTTATTTTTTCATTGATATTCCGGAAACTCTATAAATTAATTTATATGTCAGGCGAAAAACTATTTTCTATTCTTAAAAAAGATAAATATTATAATGAAACAAAGAAAACAATAATTGTAATGAAAATAATATCTCAGATCTTGTTGATTTTTTGTTAGCTAACATATACGGGGGCTTTTAGATAAATTTGAGGAATTTTGCAGTTAGTATATTTTTTCTAATATCTTCTCTTTATATTTACCGTTATTCTGTATTAACGTAATATGTATACATTGTGTAAAGACCCAATAACATTCTCTATAAACGCTCTTTAAAATCTCATAATCATAGTAACTCATGTCTTGCTTGTTTCCAGGCTCCATTTTCCTACAATTTTTAGTTAAAAAAACATCATTTACGCCGCGCCACCGACACTATTCGGACATTATCCTTTGAGTGTTGCATTACGACGGTCAACATTTGGGTGTATAGACATCAGATTATATGAGAAATGTGTACGCAGTAAACGCGATTGCGTTGAGAAAGTGCGATGCTCATTTGACTTATGAATGACGTTGACTCACGGATATGTATGTTTCTTGATGTTAGTTAAATGAAAGTAACTTTTATGTATTGATATATTTGAATGAAAATTACCGAGTCCGATTCGAAAGTGTCTTGTGAAAAAAAATCGGTTTAGATCTATTTCTAACATTTCTACGATAAAATTCCACGTAACTAACGGACAGTACATATATCAGCTATACTTCTGCAGCATTGTTCTACACAATAACAGCGTTACTTTGACGTGAAAACGCCGCTATCGTCAACAGCGAAATTACGTATTTTTAACAATAAATCTGTCTGTAAAATTTACAACATAGGTTACTTATATGCCTTGATGGACACATGTACGCAACATTCAAACAAAGTTTACCGTATGGTTAACGAGTAATGGACATTTTTATGAACATTTTTATAAACTAAAGCTAGGTTATTAGAAAGGGCTCTTTTTCAGGAATAAAGAAACCTTAAACAATCTATGATATCATCTTTAAGATTTTTTTTTTCAATTTTATTAATGTTATCAAATAAATAATAACATTCAGCTAACAATCCACAAAAGCAAAACGATTGTTTATACCCAAAATTTATGAAACATACACACAAATGTTGCAATTGTTTCATATATAGTAAAGCTAATAATAAAATTTATACGTTAAAAATACGATTTAAGAATTAGAAATCAACCGTCGCATGTAAATAGATATTAGAAATTTTATAACACTGATCACATATATCCATTTTAAATTTATAATATTCTAGCGTAATTGTTTGTTTTTGTTTGGTGTTGTTTATTTTTTTTTTCTTTTTTTTGGGGGGGGGTTGGGGTTCAAAGTACTAGGATATATGTTTTATTGTTCATGTTGTCGAAATAATGTAATTATCCGTAGTAAACGTCAATCACATTTAACCGTTTTATTATTTCTTAGATTTTAATATCACATCAATGCAATTAGTTAATGGACAAAATCCAAACGAAGGCGAAGTACAGGTACAGATTGGTAGTCGTTGGGGATCAATTATTATGGAAGGCCAGAGAAATACGTCTCAAGAAAAAACTGTTGGCAGTGTTGTTTGTAAAATCCTAGGATATGTGTAAGTATTTACATGAAGATAATATAGCATCAATGAATTGTTAATCAGTAGATGAACGTTTTTATTAAGAATCACAATCTAATTAACACATTGAACAAACATGTAAATTTATAGTATTTAGCTATTCTGTATTTTACTTTATTTTAATCTGTATATAATATATTATACAGGGGTGTTTCCGAAATATTCGATGCTTCTGTTAAGGATTATGATAATTATACCTGGATGTCGAATCTGTTTTGCAATGGGAACGAAACAGCTTTAACGGATTGTTCCTATACAAAAGGAGGATATTTTTATGATAAAATAGCTGTAAAGTGCGAAGGTATGTTCTCTTAAGTAGGGTAATTTTAAAGATCCTGTATATTGTGATTAAAGTGGTTAACCACATTTAGTGAAATTATATATATAGATCTTTTTTCAATACGATTTTCCATAACAACGAATGTTACATTTCGCACATGCGCATTCTGCGTAGGGCAAAAATGCAATAACGATGTCTACAGTTTAACATACTTTAAGGCTTAATAGATGCGATTTCATGTTACGTCACCCAAAAAATATTAATTTTGGAATGACTTAAGGTGGTTAGTACTGAAAACGTGGATTTATTTTTTAACAGATCTACGAAAATGTGCGGGACGAATAATTTAATGGTCAAAGGGGCACACATATATCGTTTATTTAAGGTATCATTAGACGACTTTTCAATCAGTAATTTAAATTGAAACAGCAGGGTGGTAAAGATAAAATTTTATTACCCTTATATTACATAATATTACACAATTTGTATTGTACACTTCCATTGAATAACGGCAACTGTCAAACAGGTTGGCACGCGAACGGTTGTTCATTCAACCAGGACGTGTAAATACCATGATATAGTTAATCAGTTACGCTCATTAAAATGGTAATTTATGTAACTTTTAAATATATACCGATCAATGTTTATGGATTTTGAGAAGAGAAAAATTGTGTGACTTGCATTATTAAAAATAACATGTATTACGAAGAAGCGGATAAAATGTGTGTCTCTTACAAACAACTCATCTTAACTTCTCAAGATTTTGAAAAGAAAAAATATTTAAAATCTATTTATGTGACTTAAATTTATCTGTTTGCATCACAGGCAAATCGGATAAAGAATATAATCAGGTATATTGAACACTAAAAATGCATTATCAACTGTTCTGATATTTTTTCAGAATGATAATTAATCTCGATTTCATGTTGTAAAATTTCTTTTGGTTTTATATTAACTATTTCAACCGTAAATATGTTGACTTTTCATTTGCTAATAGATATATTTCCACATCTTCTTTAAAGCAGCACGCCTCCAGATTTACGCTAATTTTCATAAACATTTTGAAAATGTATTTGAATGTAAAATGTTGTGAAATAACCCAAAGGAAGCAATTTGCACATTATCAATGGCACTTGTTACCCACGTTAATTACCAAAAAGATGTCAACAAATGCATAAATAGCCCTTACTGCGTAAGTAACGCAGTAGAAATATAGTTGTAAATATTTAAAAATCACTCATTAACCGCACATAACATGTAAACTATGACTTGAATCTTGAATCATTTTACTTTTTCTAAAATCGTAGAACATATTTCTCAAGTTTGATTTTATTGAAACATTTTGACACATCTGGAGGCATGCAGCTTTAAAAAATGATCTCAGTGTCAGGTCCGTGATCGTAAATTCTTAAACAAGTATCTTTTCCATGCCTTTTATGGCATTCTTCCCCACAAAGCTATAAAATCATCTTTTCTATATTTGTTATAAGCTATTTTATATAATTTTCTACCGTTTACCTTGAACTAACTCGGAATTGTCTATGAACTTGTAGTTTATTTCTATGTAGGGCGATGCATGCGCTAGAAAATTCTAATTCCGGTCTATTTTTCATAGCAACGGACCGCGTCGTAAAAAGGTCTATATGTATATCATTATGCTAATAAAAAAGTTTCAAACATCAAAGAATATGTAAAATATGTACTGCAAATATTTGTGCATATTATATGTAATCATTAAAATATATGCATTCATTTCTTATTGGAAAATTTGGCTTAAACTTTATAGAAAATAAATTTCTAATTACCTCCCTTTATTTACAGAAAATGTTAAATTCAATAATGTTTTTATAAATAAAGCTTTTTGGAACTACAATATTGATAAATCTTAATTTGAGCATCATATTTATGATTTAAAACCATGCAAAAATATTGTTACAGGATGTTTAAAAAGTGTATTACTAAATTTCTGGCATATGATTAACATATGATTAACTATGATATTTAAAAATTCAATATTATTAGTTATTTGAAATTTTCCCGAAACTAAATTGTTGTCTCGTCAGAAACACTTTGTCATTTCATTTTAGTTTGCACTTTCTATCCCGTTAAACGCCGTCTATACACAGTGTAGATCGATACTGTCTAGGCTATCTGGTATATATTCTGCTGTAAACAAGATTTCAAGATTTTCTAGATTTTATTAGAGCACAACGAAATGTCTTTTGCCATAAACAATAATGGCGTGCATACATACATAAACATATAAACAAATACATCAAACATCTAATTACGAGAAAATCAATGTTACATCATGGTTATGAAATGAATACTAAGAATATACAAAATAATGTTTGAAATTAATTCGAATTAGCTACCAGTTGTTTCTCTAGCTTGATTTGCATAGTGAATAAATTAAGACAATTTCTATATAACATTATGTTGCGAGCTATCCATTAACATTTTAAACTTGTATATTTGGCCAAGAGCAGTAGTATTTTGCTGAAAGTTCTCTTCGTAGATCAATTTTATACGGAAAAGGAAGTAAAAATGATATAATTTTTCCGTTACATTCATATTTCATTTTAAATGAAATCGTTGATTTCTTTCAATATTTCTTCGTCTATCTTCTTCAATCATTAACTTATGAGCAGAACATCTTAAACGTGAAAGGGCTAGATCAAGATTCTTTTCGTTTCCAAACGTACTTTTAATTAAACTATACGGATCGAGTTCAGAAAACCATTGTTATAAATATTGATCATTTATACGTTGGATAACAGCTTTAAGAAAAAAAATATGAGGCTTATCGAATAAATAAGAAAACCCTAAGTCTTGTAAACGACATTTAACATCGTTAGTCCATTTATAAACAAACTGATTGTTATCATAATAAGTTTATACGAAAATGAAATTGGATTCTTAGAAGTTATAACAAAAAGCTTTTCAATGCTTATCTTAATGAAAAAAATAAAAATTCAACAAAACCACAAATTTTCTTCAAATTTATATGTTAGGCCATGTTTAAACATGGAAAAATGCGATTTTTGGTAATTTCAGGTATTTTCATCATTTTTTGTTAACCCATTACCCGATATACACGCATTTTTACGCCCTTTTCACCCCCCTCCCATTTTTGTTGCGTCAGATGGTGACAAATGACTTTTTTAGGCCCCCCAACACTTGTTTTTGTTTTAAAATGTTGTTTAAAAAGGTGACCGCTTTTTCAGTGCGGCCCCAAGCAAAAGATTCACCAGGGGGTTGCCAGAAGGGGGATGTGCCCCCTTCTGTTTTGGGTGTTGAAGGGGCGACAGTCCCCCTCATCGCCAAGAAAATTTTGGACTTGTGAGAGGCTAAAAATGACCCAAGATCGACCATAAGGTAACGTGTTGCCAACGCTGAAAAGAATTTGACTCTATATCTGATCCATTGAGAAGTTGCAGCACTTTAAAATCAATTTTGATGGAAAAAATTAACGCAAAATAGTGTTTTGGGCAGTTTTGAGATGTCCCCTCGTTGCCATGGTAACGGGAAAATGTTGTTACAAAGGCAATGGTCCAGTCAACATTTGTGCCAAGTTTGATTAGCATTAAAGCCGTTTTTATAGTTTCATAGCAATGTGAACTTGTAACGGGAGACTATTCAATGAAAACAGCCATTTTTTTCACAAAATGCTCATGAAGTAATGGGTTAAGTATAACAGCTCTCTCAAGTTCACAATACTTGTTTGTTGTCTGATATTTTTGCCTTTGTCAATGTTTTGTCTATATTTACATTAAGCGACATTTTTACCAATATTTCTTCTACAGCCTGTAACACAGGTAATTATGCACCACATGTTTGCTGTATGTTTGGAACCCCATATGTTTTTTCATATGTAAAACATCTGTGTTTCATGTTTTTTTGAAAAGCATGTGTTTAAGAACATGTGTTTTTCATATGTAAGATGAACATATGTAAACAGGACCATATGAAAAACATGTGTCAACAAACATATGCTAAACTCATGGCTATCACATGTTTTTCATATGAATAAGTTTTCATATGTCAAATACATATATGTGAACTTTGATATGTTTTTCATATGATAAATCTATGTATCATATATTCTGCAAGCTTTACACTTTTTACAGTCTCTATTAGTTTCTTAATGATTGTACATAAATTCTGAAAAGATTCTTGGTTCATGCATATATGTGCAACTTATGGTTATGGGGAGAATAGTCTGCGATTTATTTTTATTCATGATTTTTTCTTCCTTTGTATATATGAGTGTTTATTTAGTGAAATTTTAACAATGAAGGACCCAAAATGAAGTGACCCATTGGGAGTGACCATCATATCATAAATATGATGTTCAAATGAAGATTTATCAATTTAATAAGTTCTAAAACGATACCGACTTTTACATATCATGTAAATAAAGGGGGGGGGGGGTAATAAAAAGTTTATTTTCTATAAAGTCTGGGTCAATTGTTTCAATGAATGCATATATTTTGATAATTACACATATTATAATTATGTACAAATATTTGCAGTACATATTTAACATATTCTTCAATGTTTGAAAATTGTTTTACAAGCATAATTATATACAAATATATATTATCACTTACGTGTAGTGATGAACAAATAACATTTGTTAAATTCTTATGAATTATCAAGTTCCAGCAAACCAAACCCTGGAACACAATTTACCATTTGTAATGAAAAACATGATTCATGTGAATCCATATGTGAAAAACAAAGTCTATACCATAAATGTAACATACAGTTTCCTTTTCTTGGAGAAACACTGTTTCCTATCATATGAAAAACATATGTTATTCATGTGTATACAAATGAAAAACATGTGTTTGCACCATATGTAAAATGCACGGAAGGGCACCTGAGGTCTTCCTCCACCAGTAAAGCTGGAACGTTGCGATATGATCTATACTGTGTCGATGTGACGTAAAACCCAAAACAAACATGTAAAACATATGGGGTACTTTTCTTGGAGAAACCATATGTTTCTACCATATGTAAAACATGTGTGTCACATACGTTTAACATGTGGTGCATATTTAGCAACAAAATAATATATTTATGAAGAAGTTAATGTAATGAATGCATTGTGTTGATAAACCGTGTGTAAAAAATGAATATTATTGATTGATAAGATGTTTGATTAATGCTTTGCAAAATAGGTTGATTGTTTACATGGTTATATAAATATAGTAAAACGTGTTTGTACTCATCTTTCTATTCAATTGTAAATTTGACTAAAATGTTTTTTATTTCATGTACAAAGATACGGACCAATGTCAATCAAATCCCTGTTTGAATAATGGCACATGCGTTGATGGTGACAGGTCCTATACTTGTAATTGTACTGAAAGATGGAGTGGTATCAACTGTGAAATAGGTACAATAAAGTGTACATTTATATACATTTTAGTTAGATTTGCAATAAAATGAGGTTAGATTTTCTCATTTGATTTTTAGGCCCAATGAGATAATTATAAATATTTCAGAAAGGGAACTGAAATTATCTTCATGTCTATTTTTTAAAACAACGTCCCTGAGAAAAAATATGTAATAAATATGCTCTTTTATTTCTATTTTTAGACAAACATCTTTATTCGAATACTTTAACGCATGTGTAAAAGATGTAACTTCTTTATTAAATACCTAACTGGTATTCTGTAATTTTACAATGCAGCTTTTGTAAACGTAATGACAATACTGATTTAACAAACTACGGGGTACATAAATATGATTTTAATTAGAAAAAAATAATATCTTCAACATTTAAGATTTGGAATACAACAAATGTCAATAACAACCATGTGAGAATAACAGCACTTGTATTAATTCTCCTGCTACAAATGTATGTGTACAGAGGGATATAACGGCGATAATTGTGCGATAGGTTTACCTGATTTAAGTTATGACGATGACGATCAATTTGATTTCCCTTAATTTTTAATATTGCTGGTCTTTCCATTTAAATAGGTATTTTTTTAAGTTTAAGCGGTATTCAATCTTCAGAACGAAGAATGAAGAACAAATGTAACAGCACTTATGTGAAATACGGGTCGACATTGTACAGCCGCACGGCACTTGACACCTGTTGTTTAAAATAAAAATCTGGAAAAGGGTGGCTATACAGAAGCAATGAAATCATCAACAAAAAAAACATGAAAATTGCAGACTCATGGAATTGTTCCAATATGTCACATTGAAGATTCATTTCTAATTGCCGTATGAACACCTTTGCAGATGTTCCAAAATTTAACTTCTTAACATTTTCATGTTTGTATTAAGCCGGTGCTAAAGGGCTTTAAAGGTATCTTCCACTTTTTACAATAATTGCTCTGTACTTACTGGTTCCAGGAACGGATTCAATTTGGGAAAGCCTTTATAAACTTATAGCTTCATAAACAATCGAACTCAAATAGATTATGAATAAATTAAGTAGAATAGATTTACAATGCAAATAAAACATGGAAAAAATGTAAAAAAAAAATAGAAACTGATAATTATTTTGTATTCTTGTAATTACATCAAGAGTTGGATGTAATACTTGAAAACTTCAAGTATGTTTCATATGTTATCTTCGGGGTGCATATAATTTACTATTTTGGCACATGTGTGTACTTTGGCTCCCCTACTATGTACTTTATTTATTATATAACTGTATACTTCTTTTATATATATTTTCTATGCATATATCAAATGCGACCCGACCTAAAAGCTGTATTATACTTGAGTGTGATCCAGAATGCCGTTTCTGATGTTACCGCAATTACGTTATGGTTGAATATGGTTTAAGACTCAATCAAACAAAGTCTGCAATTTTCATGTAATTTTGTTGTGATTAATGTTTCCGAGGGATCACTTTGTTTCCAGATTTAATTATACCCTGGAACGTGTATTTGGCTCTTGTGGACATTATTTGATCGGATCACACTCGGCGTGCGCTACACCACCTTTTAGGATCCTATCCTATTAAAATTCACCCGAGCCCAGAATAAAATACTCCCCTGTTATAACTCAATTATGCATTAGAGAAAATATTGTTTTAGACTTTAAAAGATTATTTTCTACGTTCATTGCTCAGCGTTCTTTTAAATTACATTTCAAATGTTAAATATCAAAGATTTCATGGTGAAGTGAGTTGTTCTTGCATGCGCAATTTCATCCAAAGATGTCCTTGATACTTTATAACGAAAGTTTAATTATCAGTGACTCCTGATATAAATGACACTATCGAAACAAATGCTTTTTAATATAGATTTAGACGCATGTTTGTCTCAGCCATGTGAGAACAATGGTGCGTGTGTAAAAGAAATCAATGGATTCGTGTGTTATTGTGATCAAGGATACGAGGGATATAGATGTCAATATGGTATGGTTATAACAGCATATTAAAACTAAACAAACCTTAAAGATTTTATTGATATTATTTTCATACAAATAAATGACCCTGGAAAATACTGATTCTTTCTTGGTTGAGTCAAAAATGTTTGAAATGATTTTCACTACAGTAGTTATGTTTCAATAGAACTTTTTTGTGTTTCCAGAAATTGGGGATCAAACAACATTGATAGTTGTACTGATATCTTCAATTTGCGTTTTATCAATTGTTGTTCTCACTACTGTATGTTGCTGTTTAAGATATAGCAAAGAACATAAAAATACTAGTAAGTTGTTATTTAACAATCAAAATATGCATAGAAAAACAAACTTTCCTCTTACTTAAATTCTCTTTTTAAGGTTTGCATTTTAATGTCAAAGATAGTATGATTCCAGCGAATAATTTTGTGCACCGAGTTCAAAGACTAAAGAATTGCCTTTAATTGTTTTGCCATATGGATATTCAAAAGAATAAAGCACATGTCTTTTATATCAGGTGACCATCAACATAGTAATTGATAAATCTTATTGTAATACATTCCTAATTATAAGTCCGAAACAAAATATATTCAAGTATTTAATACCATATCTGTAGATAAGTTATTTCTTGTAATAACACATATTCTAACGAATTCGTTGATGTCTTTCAGAAACGGACGCTTCCAATGTACTGTAAGTAATTTTACAAATCATATTTTATTAGAAAATAAAAAAGTCATACTTTGACTATTGATTTTGTGATAACATTTATAAACAGAATGTTCAACTTTTCGATATAACTGTCAATTATAAAACAAATCTTCTATTCTAGTAATAGTGGTAAAAGAGGTTTGCAAAACACTATAGAAGTTGAAACCGTACAAACAGAAATGGAAGAAGGGCACTACAACGAGGATGTTTACGACGAAATAAAGGAAAATACCCTGGCTGACGTTGCTGATTACATACATCCGGTTACCGATGTTGAACTACCTAGAGATGCCGATGGTTATGTTAAATTTGCTGACAATGATCAGAGTGTTGGTTATTACAAATTAAAGCACACGAAAACTGAAGATTATTCCAAATCGTCTGTATACAAATTTTGAAAAGAACAATTTATTCATTTATCGTTTTACTAGTATATTTTTCAGATAACATTGCCTATGACTACGATGATCGTATTAAATCATATAATTATATTGAATATCTACAATAATTAAAAGAAGTCTCTTTATGATTTATATTTTTATATATCATGACTTAAAAGTCTTTTTACTGAGGAGAAAATGAGTGGGTAAAGAAGTGAAAGAGCGTAGATTATTTTTGTTCCTATGGTGAGGTGTGATGTAGTTTTATCTTACTTCTTGTACTGGTATACGTTGTTAGACGTTTATTGTGATAAATCATTACTACGTATGTTTTCCAAACTGTAGCTGCTCGTTATTTAGGTAAACTATCTACTTTTATTCATTTCTAACTTTAAATCATTATAAATTTTGGAGGAATATTTACTTCAAATAAATTGAGACACTGTTGGAGCGTAAGGCGTTTTACATTTGAGCAGTTAGTATTATTGTATTGAAGGGAGTTTTGTTGTTTTATTTATTTAATCATTTCCTTATTTGCTTCTAATTCGTGGTGTTGGTGATATTGCTGGACGGTACTAGATTTGTTGAATATATTTGCGGGATTTTTGTCTTGTCAAGATGATCTTAGATTATGTTTTTTTTTAAATGTGCTTTGTTTGGTTTCTTTATAATATGTGTAGAACCTTGTCTTGTCAGGTCATCGTGTTGCATATACGTGAAAAGATATTCTGTATAAATAATTATTGAAAATGGTGTGTGATTGTTTCGGATGTAAACAGCCGCCAGATATGTTTGCTTTTTATGTACATATTAAGGTATAGGAAACTTAAAAAATAGTGGTATCTGTAAAAAATTACGTGATAGTGATATATTAATAGTTCAATACATAAAGACTGGCGTTTCAGCTCTGCATCGAAATTTTCTACAAGTTTGCAGTCAAAAATCAGACCCGTCCAAAGACTAGTTAATATGAAAGTCAGTCATTCTCCTTGAATTATATTTTAAAACACTTTCAAGAGTTTTTTCCAATTTCTCCATCTATCCAGTATCACATAAATGAGCTTGAGAGAAAGAAAAACTGTTTTAGGAATAAGGAAGGTTAAGTACTTGAATTAGTTTGTATATTTCTTACTTTGTTAATATTCTAAACTGAAGCATATTCATTTATTGTTTGATTATGTCAAGTATTCAAGTTTCATCATTCCGTTTAAAAAGTTATACAAACAGTAAGTGAATTATCACATACCCGTGCCGCTTTGCGTAAAAAAGGTAATGCACGGCCGTGCATATATTTTGACATGAAGTCATAAAACTTGCGTTAAACAAACAGATTGTAAAAAGACGCGCTAAATGTTAGCGTTACACTATAAGTGCGTCAATGAAACATTATTCTTTTTCACTTTAAACAGTATTTTATGTATGTGATAAAAAGAATATTATAGACCTTTTTACAATACGATTTTCCATAGCAACGAATGTTGCATTTCGCGCATGCGCATTCTGCGTAGGGCAAAAGCAATAACGATGTCTGCAGTTTATCATACTTTAAGGCTTTGATAGATGCGTTTTCATGTTATGTCACCCAAAAATATTAATTTTGGGATGACTTAAGGTGGTAAGTACTATAAACGTGAATTTATTTTTTAACAGATCTACGAAAATGTGGCGGGAATAATATCAATGGTGAAAACGGGGCACACACATGTCTTTGTTAAGGTATCATTAGACCGACTTTTCCATGAGTAATTCAAAATTGAAAACAGCAGGGTGTTTAAAGATAAAATTTTATTACCCCTGTATTACATAATATTACACAATTTGTATTGTACACTTCTTTGAATAACTGGATTGGTCAGGCGGCAAAGTGTCAAACAGATTGGCTCCTAACGTTTATTCATTCAACAGGGACGTTTAAATATCATTCATATAGTTAATCAGTTACGCTTATAAAAATGGTAATTTATGTAACTTTTAAATATACCGATCAATGTTTATGGATTTTGAGAAGAGAAAAATTGTGTGACTTGCATTATTAAAAATAACATGTATAACGAATAAGCGGATAGATAAAATGTGTGTTATATCTTTTCCAAACAACCCACCTTAACTTCTCAAGATTTTGAAAAAAATAATTAATTATCTGAAATCTATTTATGTGACTTAAATTTTTCTGTTTGCATCACATGCAAATCGGAATAAAGTATATAATCAGGTATATTGAACACTTAAAAAATGCATTATCACCTGTACTGATATTTTTTCTGAATGATAATTAATCTCGATTTCATGTTATATAATTTCTTTTGTTTTTAAATGAACTATTTCAACAGCAAATTAAATTGACTTTTTATTTGCTAATAGATATTAGTTCCACATCTTCTTTAAAAAATGATCTCAGTGTCAGGTCCGTGATCGTAAATTCTTAAACAAGTATCCTTTCCATGCCTTTTTATGGCATTCTTCGCCACAAAGCTATAAAGTCATCTTTTCTATATTTGTTGAAAGCTATTTTATATAATTTTCTACCGTTTACCTTGAACTAGCTCGGAATTGTCAAAGAATTTCTACTATATTTTTTTGTAGGGCGAAGCATTTTCTGCCCTACGCCGATTGCGCATGCGCGAGAAAATTCTAATTCCGGTCGATTTTTCATAGCAACGGACCGCGTCGTAAAAACGTCTATATTTGTGTAGGTTCATTATTGAATTTATTGAACTCGTTAAATGAATAAATATTAGGGTTGCCAGAGGCCTGCATAATATAATTTTATTCAAGTTGTTCAATAAATTCAGTATTGAACTGACACTCATTCTATGTTCTTTAAATATTGAATTATTGTATAATTGGAATTGTTAAGACGGCATTTGTTTTTTATTAATGAACTGTTTTGTTAAGTCATGTTTTGTATAAATCTTCATATCATTTCCATGTAGTATTTTCTTCTAGGAGTAGTCTTGCGAAATTATATAGAAATTGAATATCTGCATTTTGTGATAATATTCTATATCTTTTTATACGCTTAACAATCATACTATATTTGTTCCAAACAAATCCTACAGCTTGGTGAATGTAAGAGAACGTAAAAGAAATGTTAAAAGTATCCTAAATTTGGGTTTAAAAACACATCTCTATGTCGACTTATTCCACTTACTAAAACAACTTTTTGAAACTTGTGAAATGTTGGTACTTCTTTTTGTAAAATGTTATCTCTAGCCACACTTTCGTGTTCGTAGTTGCGAATAGCATATTAATACTTAATAATATAAAATTCTTGAATTAAATGAGTTGGATATTAAACGAGGCGGAAGTGAAGAGTTTTTAGTTCATAATGTTAGTGAGAGTCAGTGGGATAGTGATGATGATGGAAATATATCGTTCAGTACGAAGCCATCATTGTGGTTGAAGAAAGACGATAATGAGAGTGTTTTATTTAGTTGTGGGATGGGGACTCCTAACTCGGCAGGTGCACATATAGACGAGTCCATTTATATAAAGTTTAGACACAGTGCTGATGAAAATTCCACGACCAATAATAATTCCAAAACTAGCCAAAACATTCCATTTTTTCTTATATATCGGAGTCAATTGATGATATACCTATAGAAGACACAAATAAATCATTTCATATTATATTTGAGGATTCAGGGTGTGATTATTAAAGTTCTAAGACTTCAGCAGAAGATGTTTGTGTTCACATAACAAACCAGTCTGATTTCACAGAGAGTTCCCATCTAAGTTGTAGTAACGGAAAATGCAAACTTTCATCAAGTGCTGGAAGCAAATGCTTCTGTTCCAAAAATAGTTCAAAAACACATTCAAGGACAAACTCGCGCTCAATGTCAAAAGACGTTGCAAATTTCACTATTGAATCAGAAGTGAAACAATCAGCTAAACATGAGACAAAAGATGTTGATAAGAATGAGAAACATCATGAAGCAAAATTGTCTTACTTGTATATACAAATGCAGCTTTGTAAACGTGAGACGTTGAAAGATTGGTTGGCATCAAATACGTTGAACAGAGATAGACACATGGTACTGGACATGTTTGATCAGATAGTTTGTGCTATAGAATATGTTCATGACTGTGGACTCATGCACAGAGATTGAAAGGTAATGAAATATGTTAAATGTTAATCAACTGAATTGGTTTAATGGATTTGCCTAGCTTTGAATTTTAAACATTCCATTAAAACGTTAAGGGATTTAAATATCAATACACAAAAATTTCAGTTACCAACATTATAGAGGCTAGTCATACATTATCTAACATTTATCTTTGACATCATTAAAGCTTTGTCATTTGTGTGTTCTTCTTTGCTATATCTGTTTACATACAGAACAGGACACTAATTTTCAGCATGATATGATTTATATTTCACTGTTTTTTTTTCAATATCTCACTTGAAGATATATGAGATACAAATCATATACAGACATATATTATATGCTGGAAGATTTGTTCATTTTATATTACAAACTTGTGTAACTGAAATAATAAAACACCATTACACAGGGAATGTGGCATAACTGTACTGTTAAAATAGCTGATATTTTACCATAACTTTGCTATATTTGTAATATGGAATTAATATGATACTGTGTAGAAAAAATTCTATGAAACTGAAACTAAAATTTCTATTTATTAAAGATAATGTTTAAAAAGCTACAATTTTAAGATATGTCCTAGAAGGGTTTATTAGTAACATTAACCTTATTTTAGACGTGTATTTGACTCTCATAGATTTTTGCAAGGCAATTTCCCTTGGGTACCTTTTTATTACTTGCAAACCTAGCCAGGAACTTGAATTAGCTGATTACAAGTCTCCGGTCAAAATATTTGAATAATAACCTTTAAATATCAATCATTATATCATTCAATAATAATAATTATGTCATCTTGTTATTACCATTTGACATTTATCAGTATGTATATATATATCAATATGGACAGCATCAGTATTCTATGAAATTTCCTGTATTTTGAATTAATGGTCTGTTTTCAGTTCAGCTATTTATTTTGTTATTTCCCTAACATGATATTATTGTGATTTTGTTCTTATTTCAGCCTTCCAATATATTTTTCTCTATTGATGGGGTCATTAAGATGGGAGATTTTGGTCTGGTCACAGCCCTACCTGAGGAGCAGA